CTTAGGTACTTGGACCACTAGGGACTATAGGGGCAACTGTGTGTCTATAACTATAACTTTTGTCCCTGCTGTTTTGAATTTGGCCAAGCCAAGCTGAGGTCCTTTGGTGGACGCTGAGGCCCCGCGGCCTGTCTGATGACAGGCGTCCAAACAATGCTGGCAGTTGCATAAGGCCAAGGGGCCACGAAAACGAGGAAACAATCGAACACTGGGAGAAAAAGAGCTCAGTAAAGAAAGCAAGAGGAAAGTTGGGAAGAATGGAGCCCAAATGAGAAACAATTCCACGCTCAAGTAAAGCTCAACGCTTCCCTCAACGCCTTTCAACAAAGAAAAGTGAACATGAGCAACAAAAAACAGCATGATAACCCATCCTATAAAGCCGGATGCCGGATAGGAGAATAAAGCAGACAAAAAATGATATGTGTACAAAGAACGGGCAAGGAACACAGGAAACGAAGGAAAGCAAGTAAACCATGATTTCAGTCGGCCCGGTCACCTATTGCGCACCAGCTTTTGTGTGTCGTTCGCCAAGACAGGGGGCTGGGACACCAGCAACGTCTTCTTCGTGACAAGTTCACTTGCAAGGACCAGGAAATGAACAATGAACATTCTGGACCTGCCGGTCAAGAGGCTGACGACAGGCAGTATTGCCTTAAAAGCCAACTTGCCAACACAGCACGATAGCAAGGCTAAGAACAAAAAGAGATGACACTTGCATATTGCAGCTGGCATATGCTGGCATGCAAGCACCAGATCCCTGGGGCCCTGGGCAATGCTGTATGCCTGCGGATCTGTTGAGTGATCTCCTCCTTGAAGCCGTTCTCTTGTCTAACCTGGGACCAAGACCCAGACCTACAACTAGGTCCTCCAGTAGGTCCAGTAGAGAGGATAGAATAACCCTCCCCAAGAAAGGGTAAAAGGGCACTACTGGGGGACTGAGACAAGGACAAACATAGGAGCCGCCAGGTTCAGGAAGAACGCTCATCAGCTCGTTGATACTGGGCAATATGAGGAATCGTTGGTCTGGGGCGCGGATTTCAACACAACTTTGGTGGGCCCACCTCAATCCAGGGTATGTGAACAAACTTCACTTTGCAGCCCCAGCACAACAACTGTAGCCATTAGCCAGGGAGGAACAACATAAAAAGTCCTTGCATGTGAGAATTCCGCAGAAAACACAACTCCAGAAACTGAACCAAACCACAATGTGCTCCACGTTGTGAAAATCTGGCTGTGACCTCATTTCTTATCCTTCTATTCAGGTCACAAACATGGAACACGGGCTTTATCCGTATCAATCCTTGACGAACGTGTGAAGTCGCCGCGGTTCCTTTCAGCCAAGAGCAAAGCAATGGTTGCAGCCTCGTTACCACTTGGCTGAAGGGGACAAATAAATGTCTTTTTGGGCTGACAAATGCTCAAAACCAAATTGGGAAGGGCTTGGAGCTGTGTGGACGACTGCCCACGATTGCTTTGAGTCACTCGGCTATGGCTCCCGGATGCGAGGAAGCTCTGAACCAAAGAAGTGTTTCTCCAAACTTGGGGACCCCTCCAGGTGGGTTCCTTGTGTTTCTCTTTCAAAAGAGAATCCTTTTGAAACCCTCAGAATCAAACGAACGTCAAGTCCCGTGAGGCCATGACCTCCGCGAAGTTTCCAAAGCCTTCCGTGGAGCAGCAGCTCTGCCTCGCAGAAAGGAAGGGCCGACCGCTTCGGGGGCCACCACTCGCCTTGTTCGAGGCGCCCTTTGCTACCTGAAACATCATTCGATGGCCATGTGCTGGCACCTTCAGATTGCCAAAGCCGGGAAGGGGAAAGAGCCTTCAGGATGGAGACCCGACATGCCACTTGTGGCCAGTTTTCCCTGGCAGATGGTGGAAGATTCCTCTAGAAATGCTGCCTTTGCGGGTTCTATGTCAATCTGAAGAGCCAAACAGCACTACGGCCGCCTTAAGACTATATCACAATTCAGAATAGGTTGATGTGTCGGACCGCCCCACCTTTGATTAATCAAAATATAGTTCTTGGCGGCTTGCCCCTTCCGAATAGAGTGGGTGTATCTGTTTTCGACCGAAGGGGTTGGCTACTCATTGCCCCATCACTCTGACCGGCTTCCTGCTTGTTTCTGGGTGGCCCAGCAGGGGCTCACCAGCGCAGGGTGCAATGCCCATCGCCTCGCATGTCTTCACGGCTGGGACGCAGATCGTTCACTGCTCCCTCCTTTTGCTTTAGGAATTACTCCCGTTTACCCAAATACAATGAGTTGTGCCATCCACTTTCATCCAGGTGTATGGATATTTCTAGCTTGCGGGGATGATCATTCTGATCAATGTCAACCTTGGATTCATGAAAAGGACTGTGTAAGCGAGGAGCTGACTTATGGGGGGTCCTCTGATTAGTGGACTACTCATGAATCCAAAGTTAACTCTGTCACGTGTCCTTCTCATCGGATGACAGGAGAGTCATGGGACGTTCTTTGGGCTCGCAAGTGTTGATTATCAGGAACACAAAAAACAACCATTATACAAAGATTCGTTGCCAACATTATCATGGCTTGTTTCCACCAATATGACGCTTTACATCGGGTGCAAATCTACTGCAAGCGGGGTTCAAAATGGGGCAGGTTTTCTAGTCCAAATCCCAATGCGTAGTGGGACACACAACAATACAGCGAGAACCACTACCCAAAGGCAAGCGCTTGGCAATCAAAATGGATATACTCCAGCACCGCTGAAGGACCTAATCGCAACCATATTTGCCAGCTTGTCACGGATTCACTCAGAATGAGCATGGGTGTCCCTGCAACCCCCGCTTCAGGGCGCTTGACGTCAGCTTCATGCCCATCTTCCCACAAAAGGTCGGCTGCAGCCACACCATGGGATCCGATTCATCCAGAGTTTGGCCGCTGCCAGTTGCACTCAAAGCAACCGACCCAGCAACCTACCAAACTTGCGGGCATCCCCGGGAAGACCAGATCTCAGATTTTGTATTGAGCTGCTCACGATTCCCTGTCCGGCCTATCCGGCATTGTGATGAAACCCCGGTGGACTTCTTCTGGTTGAGCAAAGCCATTAACCAAAATAAAATACAACAACACCAAGATGAGTAATATGTTGGTTTGATTGCTTCAGTTTTGGTCCACAGCAACGTATAAACCCTGATTGATAGAGAGGAGTCCCATCTTGGAGGGCGTCCTTGACGTTTGGGGGATACCGGGATGCCCTGTTGATCTGACAAGCTTTACTAACATCCGGGGTCAACATTAACACGGATCCTAACTCCACACTAGAAAACCAGTCATCCTTTCGTCCGAGGGGATTTGTGGCTGGCCTTGTACGAAACTTCACAGTGCCGTTGAAGGGGACCGGCATCTAAAACAGCACGAAGAATTCTGCCAAATAGGCGGGCAGGGGGGTTGCCATTTCTGCAAACACTCAAATGAAATTCATAGCTTAGGACTCAAACACCTATCCAACGGCAAGATTCTATCAAGCCCCGCAGCCCCTGCCATAAGATCGCTCACAAAGTGGTGGGTGTGTCCGAAAATCGGGGGACCCCAAGAAAAGATCAGGGTTCCTTTTAGGATACATTAAGTGCCATCCAAGAGAGGCTCCTGATTGCGGACCCCTCACGTTTTGATCCCAAGTTGTGTCTTTCCATTTCCCAAATGTGCCCGGATCCTGCCTCATACGAGACCAAAGCGGCCAACGCGGTTTTGCGAGGTTCTTCGGTCTGCTTTTGACTGATCTTGCGAGGATGTTGTTAAAATATATACTCTTCTTTTCCGCAAGGGTTCATGTTTGCAGAGTTGCCGTGGAACAAGAGGCAGCAACTAGCAATGCAGCATTGCATTCATATGACATACTTGCATTTTCTGCATAGGAAGGAGCTATTGTGATGTTTGGTTGTAGGGCTCCTTGAACACAAAGAAATATTTGGCGCGGCCCAGCTGAAAAAGGAGTAAAGACTATCCGTAAGCATATCAAGTACAAACCGGGTGTAACAATAGCCCTGCATCAGCGTTGAACAGCAGCCACTGAGTTCATGTGTGTTGACCAACCTGCCATCAGCATGCTTCTGTCAGGTTGGTGCCCTTAAGCTAGGAGGAATCTGAGCCACGCATTGTGGGCGCGCGCGCGCCTTCCAGACCCCGCTCCAGGGCAAATCAACACGGAGGACTGATCTTCGCACGAGCTCACTATCCGCCTTGAGGCCCCATCTGCTTGGAGTATGGGTTAGCTTCGCAACTGCGGTCGACATGAAGGTTGGTTTCGTCAAGCAATAAAACAACAGTTTGCACTGGAGGGGTCTCTGCGTTTTTCACATTCCCTTCTTCAACCATCCCACTTATGCGATGAAACCTAGGAGTCATTGTTTAGCATCGGGTGGTGCGCAGTTGCGTACTGCATAGCATCGCAGAAATCACTACAGCCCTCTATGCTGATGGTTTGTACCAAGGCTTCCTACGGCCCAAGGGCAAAATTGGAGGATGGCGAGTTTTCACGCATGAGCTGTTAGAAAAGACTCACCTAAAAGACCCTGCAAGAAAATGCTCAAGCAATCATTGAGCAGTGCCTACTCGCTGGTTTCATAGCTCTATGCAGTCTATGTGTGCATCCTCTGGGGAGCCTTGGGTCAATGACGCAAAACTGCCCGCTGAAAAGAGCGTACAAACAGATGGGGGGGTTCCTCGAAATGGTGGGCCGACAACCAAAAGGAAACTGAAACAACCCTGTGCAGGGTTGCCTATTTTGAGAAACACCCACATGACCGAAGCATGTACCGTGTGAGCCTGAAGGGTCATGAAGGGTCAAGCCTAAAGAGCTGCCAATGCAACCTCATTAGAAGAACAACACGTGACGAGCCCCTTGAGTTCGACGGAAGGAGGGCCCCCTTTTTGAAAGGTTAAAAAAAGAAGAGAAAGCAAGGAAAATACAAGGGAGCTTCTCTTGCCCGAAGGTCGCTCCAAGTTTGCCTTGGAGGTGACCCCATATGACCTCGCCTGATGCCGCAGCCAGGATGGCGCGATGGGCCCTAACCCGGCAGCTGCCGCTCGTCTCGTCCTGCACCTAGCAATTTCCGGCTGCTCCTTGTGGTCTCCACTGCACCCAACCTTTGTTGCTGTTGGCCCCTCTGTAAAAAAAAATAACTTTTTGTGGGTTGAGTAGAAACTCCCTTGATTTCCCGACAAGTTAAAGTCTAAAGATTCAACCCAACAGCAGTCAAGCAACCCCCAGGGAAAGTGGGACAAATACACAATTTTGAGTGGTGCCAACGAACAAATCCCAGAGAAAAGAGAAACTTAAGCTCACTTTCTCAAAAGTCCCGGCCACTGATAAACCAATCCTTCAGCTCCGTCGGCCTCGAGCTCCAGATCTGCAAAGCTCTGTGATCTGCCCGGCAAATACCTCAGAGACAGCCGCGCAACGTGCAGCTGGACTTCTGATACGATACTTGCCCGGCTGCACTTTCGGAAGAAAAGCTATTGCACCAATTCCTCTGCTTGCTTGAATCATCTCCTTTATGCACATCAAGGAAGGCATACCATCTACCATATTTCTCGGGGAGTGTTCCATGTTAGCGGAACTCTTGTGTCTGTAGGGGAACCAACCCTCCTATCAATCACCAAGGTTTCTAAATCGGGTTCAACATACTCCTGCCATCCGGATGGAAGACTGGAGGCACCTAGGTTGGACCATTGACCTTCTGGTAGGTCCCATGATAATCAGAGGTAGCCTAAAAACACAAATGTTTCTATTTGCGGCAAGCTCACTTGCCAGAAGGTGCCTGACTTGACGACCTGCACGGCTTGCCAAAAGAAGAGCCTGGAAATCTGACATCTCTTAGTAACTAGGTCCTGCAGTAGAGAGGTTAGAATAAGGGTACCCTTTTTCTGTAGTCTATATAGCTATTTTAGTAGGGGAACCCTCCCAACCAGAAAAGGGGAGAGAAGGGCACTGGGGACCTAGGTAAAGCCATCATGAGCTCGGGGAGCCGGCGCCGCAAGATGAGCTCCTGAAGTGAGCTCCTTGTGGTAGATCCCAGCCCGTTTTCCCCCCGTCCCTCTTGTGCTACTGTTCTATTGTGAACAAGTGGAAGGGAAGGGGACAAAGGGCAGGACACCGCAGTTTCCATGAAACCACGAACCCTTCCTACATGGAACTTGAGGTGTCCTGGATGAAAGGGACCTTTCAGCTTTGATGGGAGCAAAGGCGCCAAAGGGGCCAGCATCCGAGCAACAGGCGCAGTGAAGTCTGTCCAGGCAGGTCGTGCCATCTGCGGTGCCAAGCCAAGTGCCAAGTCTGTTCCAGCCAAGCCAAGTGGAAAGCGTTCACCCCTCCCAAACCAGGGATTACAATGTGAAAACCCTCAACTCTACCATTCATCTAGAGTTGACACTCAGAGTGATATTCACAAGTAGCACGTCACGACACATGGGAAGTCCCGCTTCTGATTGTATGGGTCAGTCAGCATGAGAACTCTTTGTTTGTTGTTTTTGCATTGAGCTCCCCATTCGCGAAGCTGCGCCGTTGTGCTTGCCATTTGACTATGTAGAGACAAGCCGTGTTAGTTGATTCCTCCTTCACACATGCTTTCACAAATCTCCATTCGCCAAGGTCTCAGGCTGCTTTTTGAGGCGCGAATGCAGAAACCGTTATCCACATGGTGGCCCCTTGTGCGTTTCAGAAGCCGCGGACACTCAACAAAAACTGGACAGTTCGTTCAGTTCTCAGGTACATGACGACACCACATGGTTCGAAGCGCACAGCTGCGCTCAGGGCTTCTACATGGACTGCATCATGAGGGAATGCTTTTTCACAGCGCACTGGACACCAGCCTCTAGGGCTTTCTGTGTTGACTGCATCATTGCGCACCGCATGCTCACATTCCAGAAGCACGGCGTGAGCACTGTTTTGGTTTGTCACAAGATGCTACTACTACGACGTTGTACTTGTCTCTCTCCCCCAGGGAATGCTCTTGATACTCTAGCAAAGCTCGTTAGTTGCCGCATTCCAGTCTTGACGCCCTGGAAGCTAGAATCTTGTAAATCACACACGTTTTGATTGGCTGCCTTTGAGGGTTTCAACTTGTACACAGCGCAGTCAAAGGCCCATTGCGGGTTACGCTGAAAGTGCCGTGCCACTGGGGTGGGACTCTGGCGCTGTACTTTACTTTGCGCTGGTGAGAATCCCTGGGTGGTTGTGCTTCTTCCTGCGGTTGTCCACGCTTTCTTTGAGTCATTCTTACCTGAAAGCAAGCCGGGTCAAACAGGGGCCTTCCCCTGCAAGCACTTTGCTTCTGTATGGTTTTGAGCGTCAGCTGGCGCCTTTTCCGGAAGTTGGTTCAGTTTCACGTCCAACCTCAGAGTCAGGCCACCAAGGTTTGTTCCAAAACACGACTCTAATCTTGCTGGTCAGCATGAGGGAATGAACCTGGGGATTCCCTTAAAGGAAACCCCCAGCTGGATGGTTTATAGGGGTCATTGCCTCATTTCCTGCCTATCGCACGAGCAAGTAATTGGCAGGCCTCTGCCTCTGACAGCGGCAAGGTTGCCAGCAGCGGGCAGGAAACGTTCGCCTTAGTCACAAATGTGACCTGAGTCATAATCAAAACCCGGTATAACAATGGTCTACCCAGAACCATATAACAAATTAAGAAGGCGGCCGCAGCTATTATAGTTGTCCCTTCCTAACCTTCATCTACCCGGGCTTTGATTGTGGCTCACCTGCCGAATACCCTGAGAAACCATCGCAACGACGTCATCGGAAGAACAGCAACAACCTGCCTCGCACATCCCCCTCCCCCAGATCCACAAGGGCGCCGAGCATCTTGGAGCTTCTGCAGGAGAACCTTCAGGAAAGCAATGTTTCATGACGTTTCTATACATGGAAATCATGAACAGCCTTCTATTCCTTTGCTGTAGTCTTCTTAAATTTGTAGGTGAAATGGAACACACATACTATCTCAGGAAACCCTCTGTGTGATGGACGCTTAGGATCTATGTTGCGACCATCTTCTTGTGGGTATGGCAACGGGACCTGGGCCTGCCAAAAAAGCTCTCTGTCTGCTTCACCCATCGTAGGAGGAACCTGCTCTGCACCATTTGCACCAAAGTCAGGCATTAAAACATACCTTCCCCAAGAAAACTCTCTGCAAGCTCGGGACGGGGGTGCTCACGCGGTTTTGGGGCGCCTCCACAGCAGTCAGCCCATAGCGGTTCCGCAGGAAGAGCAGCGGCAGCTCCCGCCTCAGCGCAATACGAGGGCAAATGAATCCCCGGCACCAAAACTGGGAAAGGTCGAGACTGCCAAGCCACCCGAAGCGAAATCGTTGTCAATTGAAGTGGATGAGAACTCTCATTTGGGTGTCTCTTTTCAGGGTACCCTTTTGGGGAGTAGGCTTAAAGGGAAACCAAAAAAGAAAACCACCACTTAGGGGCTCCCCCTAAAAAACAGACACACACAGCCGTTTAAATTGTGCTACTGTTTAACGGTACCTTGGGTTTGGGCTTCTCTCTTTGATCCATTCCATGGTTCCTCCGGTAGTGGTTGGCATCTGCACAACAGGTTTCAGCATCCGTCCACCGGTCAAACAGAACATCGATGTCTTGGATGTTTTCAATTTTACCAGGGTTCATTGCATTTCTTACCCAAACACTACCGCAATTCAAGGCCATGTCCATGACATTCTTTGAAAAGCATATCGAACACTTTGGGGTTCCAGGCACACACTCAGCATGAAAATGACACTAACATGATATATGGGAACCCATGCGCAGGGTGATGGGACTCATGCTGACCTGCCTGGGACCAAGCTTGGATGCTCTGGGAGGCACCTCTTCGCTTCGCTTCCGAAACCAAGGTGAGAGATGCAAACAAAAAGGACCAGAAAATAGCCTCAGGAACTAATTATATGGTTACTTGTCAAAATAGCGGAACCCACAAGAATTCTGGTTTCCCTTTGTGTCTCCCTCTAAACCAAAGTGAAAAAGATACCCTTTTTCCCCCACAGAGTCTGATCAAACCCCGAGTTGGGAAACTGCTGGCTACCATGCCACTCGAAATGCAAAGCCGAAAAGGTGGGCTCTCAACGCGTGGCCGGGGCCAACAAGGGCAGAGGCTACCTGTGAGGAGCCAAAGGGCTGGCTCCATCGTGTTGGTTCTCTCGCCAAGCTGCCACGAAACGGCTTCAACTCGGGTTGTTCTTTGAAAGGGTTCCCTTTTGGTTGGTTGAACTTCGCCTTAAAAGGCAAACGAGAGAAAACCAAGCACCTTGGATGGGCCCAACATATATGTTGCCCGTTGCCCTTATGGCTTGATGTGGCCTTGCACCCCACAATCCAGACCAAAGAGCGTCCCCAAATTTGAGGCCGGAACGCCGCCAGGAAGCGAAGCACCCAGAAGTTCAGACGCGCCTCAGCTTTTGGACCGCACGGCAAACATTGTTCGATGGAAGCTGACGGGAGGGAGTTGGAAGACAATTGTTGACAAAGGCAAGGAAAAGTGCAAACATCAAGGGCCAGCCATCAACCTTGGCCGAACTTGAGATCATCTATCCACAGGCGGTTTCCTGCTTTCTAATTGACACTCAGAAAACGCGTTTAGACTCGAAAATCCATCTGTACGTCGCCATCCCATTTGCTCTACTTTTGCATGCGTGGAATGACTCGACAGCTTGCAGAATTGAAAATATGGATGAAAAGGTAAACTCACAAAGTTGGCTGTCGTCCAGGGAATGCCATCTGGACACTTTGACTCGCCCATCGTCGGTGTCAGAGCCAGCAACCGTATTCAAAAGCACAAGTTGTAGTGGACAAATCCCTCGATCAACTCAGACACCATCCAGGATGGGCAAATCCCCTTGATTGTTTAAGCATGTCAAAACGACCCGTTGCTTGAACAACTTCGCCAGCTCTCGTCACCATACTGCACAAAGCCTGCAGCCCGTCGGCTTGGCTGCGCACTGCCGCGCAGTGCGCCACTGTTTCCAGCTCCGCGTTGCCGCGGCAGCGGTAGGCCTGTGCGTACGACCGAAACTTCCTAACCGTCAGGCTCATCGCGTGGCAACAACATCTGGGTTGCAATATTGTGGCAAGGTGATACTGTCTGAAGAACAAGTGCGGACATTGCGCACAACTATGCTGCCAAGCCAGATTGGAAAGTACAACAACTAACGTCTTGGGAAGTAATGCGCAACCAGCTCCCAAGCATCGATATATACATAGCTCTTGTGACTTACCACCTGGATTTGGTAGATGTTCCTTCCATGGCGAGTAGCTTTCTGTAGACCAAAAGGCACTGTGACCCAACATCGCTCAGGGAGGTACACCGCATTCAAAGAAGTCAGTGCAACCATGTCAGAGCCCCTCAAAAACTTCAAAGGGTCGGTTTCATGTTGGCTGGCGTGCGAAACTCTCCCAAGGGACCTCCCAATGAGCCTAAAAGAAGGGATCCTGATCGATGCGAAAGCAAATGGAGCTGATTTGCGCGTAGGGCGAACTCATGGCAATAGCTTGCGCTTGGGCACGTTCTGGTTTGGAGACATCCTCATCTCATGACCAATTCAAATAGCACTGTTCTGGCGCTGTGAGCGCTTGCTGGTCCCCCCTCCCCCGTCACGAGGGGCCACATGTGAGGGTATATTGCCAGGCCATACGTTCCCCGAGGCAAAACGTGAAAGAACAAGTGATAACTTGTGCTCAAATCGCAGTGCCTGGGAAAGCGTCTCTTTTCCCATGCACTCATCAACATACCACAAACATCCACAAACAACGTGATCAAAACAGCTGGGGGCATGCATCATTCCAACCTTTGCTGTATCCTGCTACAGCGTCTTGAAAAGGCTGCCAATTTGCTTTGTGATTTGGGAAGCCGATTCTGGGCCAGACTTTGACACCCTGCAAAAAGTTTAGCTGTTTGCTCGTTGCAAGGAAACATGAATCAATGAAGGAAGCCCAAAATGGCACAAAGCTAAAAACGGCAAGCTAAGTCTGGCAATGAGTTGAGGCTAGGGCACAAAAAAGAAGCCGCCACCGGGCGGCGTGCGAACAGAAAAAAGGCGCGCTCCTGCAGGGACTCCGCATCCCAGCCCGGACCTCGCATGGCGTTGGGACTCTCGGGCCGGACCGAGTGAAACCACCAAGCTGATGGATTGAGTGGGACGCCACATTTGGGAAAACCATGTGGTGGGTGCGTCTCACTTTGCGAAAATCGAACGTTGGAGATGCGGGCGAAGACAGGAAAGCAAATCTTGAAGGCGCGCACGGCGCACGCTGGCTTGGAGTGAGGGGAATGAGCTAACAAGCAGTGTAAAAAACAAACAACATCAACACCAAATCCAGATTCACTGACCTTATGGCTTCAAGGGCTTATGAACACGGGGGGGTACTGATTTCCGGCATGGAAAGCCTCCGGGGATCTAAAGCTGGCTTGCGGTGAGAAACCCTCGTTCTTTAAGCTGAACAAAAAAGGACCAACCAAATCAAGAGCAAACCAAACAGGATTTTCTCAAACAAAATAGGCGGCATGAGCGGTGCCGAACAATATCTCGCGGAAAAAAAACAGCGGTAGCTGGCTTTTGCCGGGACCTTCTTTACTTCCGGAGAAGCTTTCGCACGCCTTCGCGGGGACTCTGAGGACACCCCGTACTTTGCAGTACCATTGGTATACGGCGCTCAAATGGCCATGGGTCAAAATCCAAATCGTACCCCCCGTGAACATCTCAATCCCCACTAAAATCGGTTCTACAATGGGTGGTGCACCTACCCCAAAATAGTACCATTGGTTTTGACCCACGGCCAAATGTCCTCCGTGGCAAAGAAGCAACCGCCAAACAGGCTCCGCCCTCCGATTCACATCACATCTTCAGGTGCAAGACCACCACACAATCAGCTTGCCTTCCTGTGTCTATGGGAGGATGACGAGGGATAAAGGGCTCAAACTTGCGAGCTCTAGAGTCCAGAAATTTTGCTTCTTGGCTCTTTTTCAAAATAGCAATGGGTATTTGTGGCGACCCAGTAGATACATGCGAGCATGCCATAAGGAAGAAGCAAATGTGCCAGTAACTCATGCATTCCCTGGTTTCAAGCGTGGATTTCGACACAAACGAACCCAGGTACAAAACCTTCGAGGCACTTGCTCGGCATCAACTGCGCGGGCTGATAGGACATGTCTCTGACCCTCTGTGTGGGACTTTGAGGGCACCTTCTTGTTGGGGGGGGGCTGCTTTGAGGGAAAAAGCCAAAGGGAAACCCACCATTTCGAGGCCCGGTTTTGTGACAGTCGATTTGGGATATGTGAGGAATGGGTACACAGAACTTTCATGCGGCCCATGCCGACTAAGTGGCCGTCGTGTAGCACCTTGTGGGCTTGCCAGAACTTCATTCCCCCCCCACACCCTCCAGCTACGCCACGCTGTGCAAATGAGGTCTGCGCTCTACGCGACAATTTTTGGCACGTCCTGCCCCCCCCCCCCCCCCGCCACCCCCACCCCCGCGATGAAACTGTGCCAAGGTCGCGAAGCATTCAACGTGAAACTGCAGGAATCCAGCTGTACGCTGCCAAAAGGAGCCGCGGCTCAAGTGGGACAATGGTAATCAGTGGATAATGTCCGTTTCTACCAAAGTGGGTCTAACTCCATACAATAGTTGATCAATTTCAAAGGGATCCCTTTGGCATGACCGAAGCTGACTCTCCAACCCCAAAGCTGAACAATATTAGCTTGGAACGGGGGCTCTTGACACAGAGCTCGGCTTAAATGTTCCTGTTTTGCCTTGGGCCCAGCTTAGGATTCAAGGAGTCCAGCCCGAACACCGTTCGGGATTCTCGATGCCGCCAAGCAGCCAGCCCTGCGAGGAAGTACCAAGAAAAGCAAGCCACACTTTTGGCCAGTCTCAAACAAACCGAACACAATCAAACAATCCTCGACGCTTCTCTGGTCTCCAAGATCAAAAGGCCTCACGCTTGACACCCCGAGCCCTCTGACTCGCCAGGGTAGAGGCTTGGCCCACGGGCGGGAACCAAAGAGAGACTGGAAGAGCTCCGCTGCCGGCGCCTGGCGCTTGGCCCGCGTGTGGTTTTTGGGTCAAATGGACCGATTAGGCCCAGGGCCAGCCTGATTTGGGGCATACAATGGCCCTGAAACAAACAGTGTTTCCTTCTGACACTAGTCACTAGTGCAAACACACACATACAAATGGAACATGGCGAGCTGCGGGTTCAGCTGTCTCAATTGCACAGCCTTCCTTCTCATCAGATGTTCGGAGCGCCCTTTCAACTGCTTCAAAGCAGCTGCGATTGAGGAAAGCAAATGAGGCACGCAGGAAACCAACTTGAGCCCGACAAAAAACGATTGGTTCCCAAAATTGCCAGCGATTCGCGATTTGGACCACGCCAAAAGTACCATGGCCAAGAAACTGGCTGGAGGTTTAACCTGCCGCGCATTCTATGTGATCCCACTCGATGCACAATCGCCTAAAATGTCAGGAAATGCCTGCACGGACACCGATGTGCAAGGACTCTCATGCATTGCATCTTGCCACAAGTTGCTTGCCGTGAGGTAAAAATGGCTTCAAAAGCCATGTTATTCTGATGCGAAAGATGCTGATGCGAAAGATGAACAAGCATCCCACAAGTTTAGGCAGCTATGGGCATCCCGGCACTGGGCACGATCAAAAACAACAATTCTTAATGGGCAGGACAATGCCTGGAAACACTTCCCCGACAGACGCTGCGCCTTTTCACCATGACGACTCCGGCTCTAAACCATGCTTTGTGAAGTAAGGTCTGTGATTCTGGTTCGCACATTTGTGCCAAAGCCACCAGAAGCAAACCCCTCATAGACGCACAATACCTCCCCGGCGAAATTGGCAGGCGCACTGAGAAGTGATGGAGGTAGACACCTCAGCGCGGGCTGAGCAACCAATCACTGACATCCGTAGGACTTCTGGAAACAAAGGGGAACATCGTACAATGGGATTCGGTACCAGGTGGTCCACGAATTCTCCCAAAAGGGAGTCCAAAGGCAAACGCTGGTCAAGGACACCCTTCCGATCGCTAATGCATACATCAGCTTCGCAGGGGGGAGGGGGGGGGCGCTCTGCTTCTCATCGCCATCCACATTTGTTGTTGCAAAACCGGGTTGTCCTGAAAATGAATAGCCACATGCTTTAGAGGCGTCAATCAAGGCTCATATATCGGCGAACACCCCTGCATCCCAAGCTAGGTCGCCAGCAAAGGTGGAGCAGCGTGTCGCCCCGCTTTGCATGCACCTGTACCAAACAACAAGGTTGTGAAACAAATGAACTCGAAATGGAGTCGAATTGAGTCAAACAACATGGTCAAATCGATTGAACATCTGTGCATCTGTTCTCGCAGCTCCAGAAGGTTGAATCGCCTGAAGCGAACTCTCAGAGAATAAGTATGGAGAGGGAAGTCCAGAACCAAAATGCTTTACTTGTCATTTCTCCTGCCTTGGTGAGAATGCAATGTGCTTGTCAGATACAACATGCGAGAAAGGGTCAAAATGAGGGACCCCTCCAAACTCTTGATTTGGGCGTTTCCTCCCTCAAACATCCGGGTCCCCAATTTTGGAACACCCGCACCTCCTTCTGGTCTCCTTGACATGTACGCCAAAACGGATCCAAAGACCATACCAATCATGGGAAGCCCTCACCATCATTTCCCAAACCTCTGGAAGTCTGGAAGACTTCAGGAATTCGAGCCGCACAGTCGGGGCAATGGGAACAGGATTGATGAAGCTCTCAATAGGTGGGGTCCCATAGAGGAAACTGCTTCTTGTTCACTTTTGGAGGAAACACCATGTTGGCCCCGGATTGATAAACCCCAGTTTATGAATGTGGGGGTGTTCCCTCCAAGAGTGATGAATCCCCACTAAAACCAGGGACACCCCCATATGAATAAACCAGGGTTCATTAATCTGGGGTCAACATCATCTTCCACTGGCTTGACCTTTGCCCGGGGTCATTGCCGTTGACTCGAAAAAGCCCTGGGCCTCCGAAAGGTCAATACCCCGCGGGCCTCCTGCACATCTCTGAATCCCGGATCCAAGGACAGTGGTGGAAGACCAACTGCAACATGCCCTTGTTTCATGCTTGTTCCTACAAAATGGAAAATGGGTTACACCACATCGCCAGAAAAATCATGCTTGCTCCGTACTTCACATGTGTTCATAGTAGCGGACTCGGTTGAGGCCATCAACAACTTCAAAGGTCAATCGTTCAACTGCCCTCGCGGCGGCTTGAGACTTGTGAAAATGAAAAAAGGGGTCCTCACGGATCCATGGGGTCGTTTTTGTTTGTTCGGTTTATAGGGTCCTCATGGGTCGTGTGACCTCCAGACGCGGTTGTTACAGCTGCAAATTCGCTCAGGTGTCAAACATGTGAACTCTTTTCTGGTGGCAGCACACAAGGAAACAAACCATTTGGAAGGTAGCACACATGTCGAAATCTGCCCACCGCGGCCTGTCCAGGTTTCCTAACCAATGGCTTTGCTCTCCAACGCAAGGAAAGCATCTGAACATCCTGACCTTTCCCCACGTCTGTTTGGAGTACCCGTCACCTTGGTTTATGGGGAAACCAAAAGAAACCCACAACTCTACGAGGTCCGCTGTTAAACACATACCCATACACGCATCTGTGCAGTTACCGATCTTCAGGTGTACCAGTTTAGCCCTTGCCCTCAAAGACATGACGCTGCTGCGTGCAACATTCAAGTCGTGCTTTAAGCCAACTGCCTAGTTGTTCAACACCGAATCATATCCAGGGTCATCTGGCTGTTCTGCCGGCTATGGTGCTTGTCTAATCTCTAAAATGGCTTCTCGAAGCTGTTTGCAGTCAATAAATCCCCAACTAACCGCTCGACTATTGGTGTGCACCGTAAATACTAAAAACATCACCTGTGCCAATTGTACATGTCTAGTGAGTCTAGTTTGTGCATGCGCAATGATGCTGAATGGCAGGTGAGAGTTTGCTGTTGTAACGTGAGGCACATCTGCATCACGATGATTTCAACTCATTCTTACTGAGGCCTTCCTCCATATCATGTCTTCCGGAGACAGCCATCTTCTCAAAACAAAAACGCTGCTTCTTTCGTGAAACGTGGCTTGAAAGCATTCGCGACTCCAGGACTCCAGCGCCGTGCCCTGTTGGTTGCAATGTCTGAAACTAGATGAATGCTGCTGCTGTTGCGGGCGCAGTTGACACGGGTCAACGGCTTTGTGCGACGACTGTGGCTCCCGTCCCTGCCACACCAGCAACCTTAAGATCCATGGGCTTCTTCAGCTCTTGCACGTGCGCCTAAATGACCCAGCCAGCGATCAGGCCCGGGAAGGAAAGCAATGTAGTTAAGCCGATTTTTCAAGCAAGGTGGGTTCCCACGCGTAAAACGAACTGAGGCGCAATGCCTGCCAGCACTTTCGGATCCTATGAGTTTTCAAGAGGAACTCAACAGTACTCTTTGGCGAAGTCCCGCGCGAAGCATTCTCAAGCTCCGGCGTCGGGCGGGCGGTTGAGAAGACTCGAACACCCCAAAAGAGCCGTCTCTTCCTTGACAACCCTTGGTATGGTAGCACCAAGGTCGGCTTTTTGCGACACTCCTCCCCAAAACAAAATGAACAAAAGCGCAAACGCATGCAGTCCTTGCCAGCACAAAATGACGGAAGGGTCCAAACAATGACAAAAGGCGCCAGCCCCCCTTCCTTGCCAAACCGACATTCAGCAGGAGTCCTGGCGGAAACCGATGCAGCAAGAACATGGCCACCTCGCATGCGAGTGACTGCCCGGATGGGGTAACACAAGTGTCCCCAAAGTGGCGTCATGAGTCACTCGGAATAGTGGCAAACTTTCTGCTGACTTTCCTGCACCTTCTACTAGGTTGGTCTCGAGCACATTGCCTTGTGACTGCCATCTAAACCAAAGTTAAGACGAGAAAGGGTCACAATAGGCGGCTAATATTGATATCTTGAACCAGTGTCAGCAGTTGCCAACGAAGCCCAAAATATGGCTCTCCACTGCATAAAATGTTTCTTGTCCTAATTTGAGCACCTGATTCACAAGGAGATCCTTCAAACCAAATGCTAAATGTGTCTTGAACTCTGACCACTGCATTTGTTTACTCTAAACAAGGGATCCCCAAGTAAAAGGACTTTTATCATGGTGAGCTCGTTTACCCAGGTAAGCTCGCTGCAAATAGTCATGCAGCAACATGTACTGTTTAGGACATATTGTCTTGCCATTGGTGTCTTGCCGCTCCGCTTTTTTGGTTCCCAGATTCTGCTGTCCGCTGCTGATCATACCAAACCGGTCGGAACAAACAAAACTGGTCTGACAAGTCTCATCAGACCGAAACTGGTCCGATCAAACCAAAACTGGTCCGATCAGACCCAAGCTGGTTCGATCAGACTAAAAGAGTGGCACCAAACAAACTGGTTAGTCAACAAGACCCCAAAAGAGCCCAGCCAGTTTGAAGAATTCACCAGTGCATCATTGCTGGTGCTGACGCATATGGCTTTCCAGCCCCTCATCATTATTTCAGAAAAACTGAAGCCAGTGTCAGTAAGCCACTGTCTCACCGGACCGTGGCCGGACCAGTTCTGCTCTGATCAGACCAGTTGTGCAGGCTTGAAAGGTTTGATCGGACCCAGAACAGTCTGAGTCTGCTCAAACCATCAAAGTGTCTGGTCAAACCAAAAGTTGTCTGATCAAAGGGGACCTCTTGGCCAAAATGTTCATGGGGGGTGTTCCCCTTCAAACAAAAACCAAAGCCATCTGTATCCACAGATCCATGGCCTCTTGGCAAATCCCCGCCTGCACTTGCTGGTGTGCCAGTGCGTTCCTTGGGCTGTTGGCACAGCGAATGTGCGGAGAGCTGCGACAGTTTCAAATCAACACAAAACGAAGGGAGTACCTACCATCGAACATCACAGGCAATTCGAAAAGTAAACTACATGCACCAATTGCATACCCTTACGACAAATTGCTTTTGCGACAGGATCCTGCCGAGTCGCCAAAAGATGCTGTGCCCGTTGACGTCGCACAAACGCCCGTTGAGCAGGCCTGGTTGCGTTCATCCGGCTGGTCTTGGGAGTTCCGTTGGAAGACCTACCCTCGACTTGAATTGGGCCGTCCTGCACCAGGCACCGAACAAAGGTCTTGAACGAAATGGTTGAAAGCTTCTTCCCATAGTCCTGGAAAGAACTTACGAGTTCAATCAAATGCACCGCCTGTCCGGCAGTCAACTCTGCAACCTCGACTTCGGAACAACCATCTCTCATCCTGATACGACAGTATATAAAACCCAGCCGCTCACTTGTGTTGAAGTATACGCTCAGGCAAAACGACAAACGCAAGTTTGTGCCTAGCGCTTGAACAAACTCAATGCTGGATGCGCTAAGCGGAAGAAACCGCGGCACTGTGGTGGAAGTCTTAAAACGCAAATGAAAGCAACAGTGAATCAACATGTGAATGGAACGGAAGTCAATGGCTTCCATCACAACTCAACGAGTTTCGAAACCTGGGGATTTACTCGTCTGCTTTGAAATCTCTGCGACCAAACTCGAAGTGATCCGTTGACTCTCCGTACCCTCCCCAAAAAGGTGTGATGGCCCTCAGACGGGAAGAGACAACTCAATCGCAGGGATTACTAAGGGTCGTCCTTTTTGTTTAGGGCAAATCATGATTGTTGCCAATATATATATATATATATAATATTATAAAGTCAGTTTTTAACTGGTCCCATTATTCTGCCTGTATCCAAATCATCCCGGAAGTGGCAGGTTGCAGGGACACCACCCCAGTTGCTGAATTTGATAACCCCCAGAAATGGTCAAACTAATTAATGACCCCAGGCTATTTATGCGTACTAGTCGATTCGGGCCGATCGGTTTTCGGATCCCAAGGATTGACCAAAATTGTTGGGAGGGTGAGTTGTTGTTTACTTGATGCCCAAGGCTTCCAGCCGCAGTTTATCTATTTCCCGCATGGCCAATGTTTTGGGGCAACATTAGATTGGGATTCCCACCTGAAACAGACTTGGGATTCACAAGTGGGCAACACGTTGGGCACCCAACCAGACTCCCACAGGTCCACCAAACCGGCCTCGGGCCAGGAGATCCTCCAGCTGGGCAAGGTTCCCCTGGCGAGCGAGCGAGCGAGCTCGGCGCATGGGATGCTGCTTTCGCCCGTTCAAATTTTGAGGATGAAAATGAGCGCAAGGAATTTTTGAGAGATTGGGTCTGTCTCTGAATCATCTTGTGAGCCTATACCCTTGTGCTGCCGTCTGCTCACAAAGCTTGGCGGTTGGTTCTCTCTGAATGAGTCGCACTCGGGCTGTAAGGCTCAAAAAGAAGCCCCATCGCTATGTTTGCACATTGGAAGCCACCGGCAAATCCCAACATCAGATGCACAACACCCTACTATAAAGGGAAGCAAACTCGGAAACATCTTGCCGCTGCTGAAAACAAAGTAATTGTCAAAACGATTGCTGAATGTTGGCCCACAAAACTGCTTTCTAACTTAGCCTTCATATACAAGCACTTCCACATTTGCAACATTTGTCCTTTCGTGGGTCGCTCTTTCTTTTCATATGAGTCACTGGTAATTTCCAGCTGGTGTCACCCAATATGGATTTTTGCCCGGTAACAGTGTAAAGCCTGAAGCCACATTACTTGTGTGAAGCATGCCATCCCCGGCCATGTTTGGGGTGGCCTTCAAAAACTAACCCCGGAAGCCAGGCGTTCGAAAAGGTCACTAGTAGCGTTAGTTCTGACACGCAGGCAACCCCATTGCTGTCCCAGGTTTAGTTCCGTGACCCGGTGAACAAATCAGGAGAGTGACTGCAAGTTGGGCTGAGGGGTATGTTCTGTATAATATGTATATATATATATATATACACGTATAAACACGGAATCGCACAGCACAAACTGGGAAGTATTTCACAGCTATGTCCGGCGGCAAACATCCCGAGCCTTGCTGAACAATCTTGTCTTGGGCTTGCAACTGGAGAAACATGCGCAGAAACACGATTAACTGGTGCAGGGAATAATGCCTCCCTCGACTGCAGCAAGACAGCAAGCAGCTGCTTGTGTTGGGTCAAGGACTTCAACGTTCATGTAGGGGAAGTTGCCCACATTAGTTGCAAAACTGAACTGGCAATCATCTATCTACATAGCCCATGACATCGAACGTTATGATCATACATCAAACAGTACAATGACAATGATCAAGTTTTCCTTTGAGCTGCTAAAATTGAACATGTGAGGCAGAACTGAGTCCCCGAAAATCGAAATGGCTTGTTCTTGCTGGGCTTTTCAGTTACGGACCTCGCCGCATGTGAAGCTTTGCAGCCCTTCTGTTCTTCTTGGTTTCCCACGAATTTCCAAAAGTGGGTAGCAAGAGTTTAAAGATTACACACACGCACACACACACACAAACAGACACACAGACACACAGACACACAGACACACAGACACACAGACACACAGACACACAGACACACAGACACACAGACACACAGACACACAGACACACACACACAGACACACAGACACACAGACACACAGACACACAGACACACAGACACACAGACACACAGACACACAGACACACAGACACACAGACACACAGACACACAGACACACAGACACACAGACACACAGACACACAGACACACAGACACACAGACACACAGACACACAGACACACAGACACACAGACACACAGACACACACACACACACACAGACACACAGACACACACACACAGACACACACACACACACACACACACACACACACACACCACACACACACACACAGACACACACACACACACACACACACACACACACACACACACACACACACACACACACACACACACACACACACACACACACACACACACACACACACACACACACACACACACACACACACACACACACACACACAGACACACACACACACACACACACACACACACACACACACACACACACACACACACACACACACACACACACACACACACACACACACACACACACACACACACACACACACACACACACACACACACACACACAGACAAACACACACACACACACACACACACACACACACACACACACACACACACACACACACACACACACACACACACACACACACACACACACACACACACACACACACACACACACACACACACACACACACACACACACACACACACACACACACACACACACACACACACACACACACACACACACACACACACACACACACACACACACACACACACACACACACACACACACACACACACACACACACACACACACACACACACACACACACACACACACACACACACACACACACACACACACACACACACACACACACACACACACACACACACACACACACACACACACACACACACACACACACACACACACACACACACACACACACACACACACACACACACACACACACACACACACACACACACACACACACACACACACACACACACACACACCGAGCAAGCATGACATATATGTGGCAGGGTCCAGGAAACCGGGGGAAAAAATAAGCTCAGGTGATATCCCTAACAGCATGTGAAACCCTGGTGGAACCCTGGTGGAACCCTTCAGCTGTTGAGAGAAAGAGAACAAACAACTCCCAGAATCCTCGCGGAACGCCCCGGGACCATCCTTACCGCCGGTGTTGCTGAGGATGCCGCCTTGTAAAGCAAAGCTACGAGTGACAGCGCAATCTCGCCCTGATCGGGGCCCGACGGCGCAATCGGGGCCCGATCGGGGCCCGACAGCGCAATCGGGGCCCGATCGGGGCCCGACGGTGCAATCGGGGCCCGATCGGGCCCGACGGTGCAATCGGGGCCCGATCGGGGCCCGACGGTGCAATCGGGCCCCGACGTCCCGTGGTGCAAACCCAGCCACCCATACTATAGCTCAACGCCGGTGACCCTTGGCATGCGGAAGGCAACTGTATCTATAGCAAAACCAATTGACGGGGCCCGACGCTGCAATCAGGGCCCGATCGGGGCCCGACGGGGCCCGATCGGGGGCCCGACGGTGCAATCGGGCCCCGATCGTCCCGTGGTGCAACCCCAGCCACCCATATTATAGCTCAACGCCGGTTTTCCTTAGTATGCGGATTGCAACTGTATCTATAGCAAAACTAGGCGATGCCAGCTTGACGGGGCCCGACTGAGTCGGGCCCCGATCGGGGCGCGATGGCGCAATCGGGGCCGATCGGGCCCAAAGGCCCCGACAGTGCAATCGGGCCCCGACCTAGGCCCGGTGAACCTCGCAAACCGTTCTCACGCAACTTTCGTGGAGCTCAGCGTGAAACTTTGCTGGAACCTTTCCTCAGGGCTGCCCCATAGCTTTTGCAGAATTTGGCGTTTGACCAGCCCTCGCAGCCTGGGAATTCTTGGAACCCAAAGCCCACCAAGCAGCAATGCCAAGCATTTACTCTGCTGCACCGTGAGTTCCGCAGCGACGTGATCTGATTTGCCACAAAGCCAACATGTGCCTGAGCAAGTGAGCAAGTCACAAAACAGTGAAAGTGTGCTAAAAACCATTGATTTCGGTTTTGCTTAGTGTTCCGCCCATGAGCAAAGCGATCTTGATCCGATGGCTTTTCAGACGACGGGCGCACGACACACCCTTGGTGGAGCATTGTGGAGCCTTGTGGAACCCGTGTGGAATCCTTGCAGAGCTTTGTGGAACCCTGTGAAACCTCAGGGCCCACAACCCTCACAGAATCTTGTGGAACCCTGAAACCCTCATACAACCTTACCTCAAACCACCCCGGACCACCCCGCAGCCCTCGCAGAACCTCGTGGGACCCTGCTAGAACTGTGCTGGAATGGAACCTTACCTTGCCAAACCTGGTGGAATTCTGGTGGAACTCTCATGGAACATTACCTCAAACCAGCCCGGACCGCTGGTGGAACCCTGGTGAAACCCTGGTGGAACCCTCGTGGAACCTTCCCCGGACCACGCCGCACCCTCGAAGAACTTGGTGGAACGCTGGTGGAACCCTCGTCCGGAGCACGACGGGCTGGTGGAACCCTGGTGGAAACCTGGTGGAACCCTCGTGGAACCTTACCTCAAACCACCTCGGACCACCCTGCAGCCCTCGCAGAACCTGGTGAAACCCTGGCAGAATTCTGGTGGAAATCTGGTGGAACCCTCGTGGAACCTTCCTCAAACCAGACCACCCCAGCCCTCGAAGAAATTGGTGGAACCCTGGTGGAACCCTCGTGGAACCTTACCTCAAACCACCCCAGACCACCCCGCCCTTGCAGAACCTGGTGGAACCCTGGTGGAACCCTGGTGGAACCCTGGTGGAACCCTGGTGCAACCCTGGTGAAACCCTGGTGGAACCCTGGTAAAACCCTGGTGGAACCCTGGTGGAACCCTGGTGGAACCCTGGTGGAACCCCTGGTGGAACCCTGGTGGAACCTTAGCTCAGGGTCGCCCCGAACCACCCCGGAGCCTATCTGGGCTGAGACCCCAAAGCTTTCAGCTGTTGGGGAAAAAACTTACAGATGTTCCTATGACATTGTTGTCTATGACCAGTTTGGTGGATTGCGAGGACCCTGTGTGTGGTTTTGTTTGGGACATGGTTGGCAACTATTTCGGGAAGTGAGCAATGGCCTTTGGGCTGTACCGAAACCCAAATGGGGATAAGGATGAGCTGTTAGACTTCACCACAACTACTAGGATTCGAGCAGTATTCTTGGCCAGACTTCGACCCCCTGCACAAGGTTAAGTGCTTGCTGGCTAAACAGAAGAATTCAAAAAAAGCAGATCAAACAACTCAAAGGCCAGCTCAATAACACAAACAAAAGGGCCAAATGGCAATGGAAAACAACAACAACAAAAAACACCCCTAACAATAAATACACCTCCCCCATCAATAGATAGCACAAACTAGTTGAGTCTGCCACTGACGCCAGGCCTCCAGGACAGCCTCCCACAGTTCGCGGTACTCGCGGCTGTCTGGTCTCAGCTCCTGACTCGTCGGATAGTCAGACTATCCTCGGGGGGAACTTGTTCCGAAAATGGAAATTGTTTTGGTCTTGTCTGGCTGCTGCTCAGCAGGGAATGAGGGAATGACCCCCATAAGCCATCCTCTATGGTTCCTTTAAGGAAATCCCAGGTTCATTCCCTCATTCCCGGCTGAGCACCAGCAAGTTGTTTTGGGAAAATTGTCAAAGAGCACAGCCCTGTTCTGACCGGGCACCTGTTCAAAACTCTCGCCCAGCGTCTAGATGGAGAAACATCTACCAGTGGTGCTTGCTTCGCGCCAGGCAGGAAACAGGCTTGTCAGTGCGATGCACTTGTGCGGAAGAATGCCAGCCACAACAAAAAACACAAATATGGACGCTTGAGGGACAAAACTCAATGCAAATGTCACGCCGAGGTGGAAACACCTTGGATCTGCTACATTCCGGCTGCGCTGGGGCCTTGCCGTCAACAACCATGTAACATGCGCAAATGACAAGGAAAACGCATCCTGACTTTGCCTCATTTACTGCATCTTGGAAATGGGCCCTCAAGCTGCCGGCTCCAAGCTTCATTGCTCGTGTGCTCCGTCACTTGAAGCCTTGAATTCCACTGGCCCAAACGAGGGAGTGCGAAGCCGGCGGGCAGGCCAACGCACACCCACACACACAAACCAGCTGGCTTTTGAGCAAAATGCGACAAGCAAATCTCGCGGCATGGTAAATGAATATGATAAGCGGGCGGCGTTGAAGAGACTGCAAAGCCCTACTTTGACGAGTGAATGAGTGCCACGCGGCCTCTGAGTCGCAGGAGTAGGCACTGCCGCTGGTGCCTGGCGGGGTCGGATGGGTTTCTGGGCAGAACTTGCCACCACTGCACCCGAAACTCTAGGTATGTGTCAGGCAGGCTGTTGAGATCGAGATTAAAGGGTCTGACATCACGTTTGGGTTGAGGCGGAGGATGGCTAGTGGTTGGTTTGTTTGCTTGGTGTTGGCGCTGATGCTGAGCTTGATGCCAGTCCATGTTGATGCTACCCTAGGGATTGATGCTGTTTGTGTCTTGATACTTTTTTGGATTCAACTCATGACAACACAAAAAAGACAACAAGTGACCACCGACTTATTCCGCGTGTGTGCTCGTGAGAGTGCCTGGGTACAGGCTCCGAAGAATCATGTTGCACCAGCAAGCCGCGGCCAATGGATTTACAAAGATCGAATCATTGAACACAAAATGATGCCACGTGGCTGTCCCTTTCAAAGGCATCCTTCCTTTCTGGGATCTTTAAGGCCCTCACAGGGGTCAACGCATTGCCCCAAGACACTACTTTTGGAAGTGCAACGGGGGTGATCGTCTTTCCCACCCAGAATTGCACCATTCAGGTTGGGTTTGGGTATCTTGGTCATAGCATTGGTGGCGTTCATGGGCGCCTAAAGGTGCCAGGGGACCAATAAACAGTCGGCTGTGCAGCTGGAAAACCCTTCAAATGACAACGTGACTCACGCCAAGGTGTTGATCCTTCCGAGAAGGCACAAACCTACAGACCCCAAAAGGAAGCCAACAAAAACATATTTGGGAAGCAAGCAAAAAACAGATTCGGGCAACTCTACTAAGTTCTACTATGCCCGTGTGAGAAAGACAAACACACTTGTCACTGACTTGAAGCCCGGGTTTTCCTGGTCTCCGACCCCAGCCTACCCGGCCCGGCATACCAGGAATGGATAGCACCAGGGCCGGCTGAACGGGACCTGCGTGCGGCTCAATGGGAGATTCTTTGGTGTCCCTGTAAAACACTCCCCAAAACAAGTATCATCTAAAGAGGCACATGAGCAAAAGGGGTCTACAAATGAATGCAATCGGGTTGCCATCGTAATTTGCAGAAGAGAAGAGGCAAGAGAGTCCAAAAAGGAAGGCTGGTTTGCCAGTCATACAGTATAACCAGCAAATACCAGTTTCTGAATGAACAGGCTGCGTAGCCTCAATTGTGACTGGCCCAAGGAACTGACTCGGTCAGGCAACGAACGATGTCTCACTCTTTCGCCTTCCAATGGTAGACCAAAGCACTGAACGAGTGCAACAGCAAGAGCCAACAATCTGGCACACCTGCTCCGATTCCATCGACTGTTCAACGTCAAAGGGGCGTGCGGGGCCAAAAGAGATCCAGCAGCCACATTGGCGAGTCTGAAGTGTTGCAATGGAAGCCCATGAAAAACTATCCTCGGAAATTTCCGGGATCTCCCAAGAAACCCATAAGAACCAGAAGGCCACAAAACACATGGGGACCCTAAACCGCTAGCTACCCAAACGGCCCAACCAGCCCCCGCCTGCCCGCGCGAAGCACAAGTCCATGGGCTGCGTGGGCAAAGAGCGCTGGTCCAAAGAGCGTTGGTCTGGGCTGGGTGCTGGCCTCAAATGCTGCCAGATTCGCCTTCCAAAACTGACGCCAACCCCAGGAATTCCGATGTCCCAACACGCTGTCCCACAGTAAGTGCTCTGCGGACTGGGACAGTTTGCTTGGGGTCTCTAAAATGAGGGAGATTATTGGTATTGCTTGGCCATGGGTTTTTGAAGGAAGATCTAAAGGGAATCAGATCTCTGCCACCCATGCGTTTGTAAAACGGTCTCTCTTGAAATACATCAAATGGGGGTCCCCGATTTTGGGACCGATGTTCACCCTGACCTGTTCACTCACTTGGTCATTTGCGGAATCAACAAGCTAACGCATCTGACTCACATGGCAGCCTGCGCTTGTGGTGCTATGGCTGGCGCGTCGAGAGTAATGTTACACCTCCTTTAATAGTCCCCTCTGTTGTAGCATTTTTCAGCAATTCAGGATCTTGTGACTGTTTTGGGGTCCTCAATTGCAGCAATTGTCCCCCCCCCAAAAAAAAAGAACAGAAAAAAGGCTCTTTTTTACTCTCCTGATCTTGTCTAGGGCTAAGCCTCCGATAAAATATGGGCCAAACAAACTTGGCAAAGAAGTCGAGCAAACAAACCGAGCAAACAAATCCGGGCAAACAGGATTATTTGAAGTGGTCCCCAAACCATCAAATTCGAGATAGCTTCTTTACAAACAAGTACAGGCAAACAGTCACGCAAAGGGGAGTGCCCACCGCCCTGATCCTCTTTAATGCGACTGTTTTAGGGTCCTCTGTAGTGTCTAACCTGTTTGTGGGTTGCTAAAAAAAAATGGTCCTTGGCAATATTAAAGTTGTAAGTGCTAGGAATCTGAGAGTCAGCCTTGGCAATACTAGAGTAGAACTGGCAATACAAAAGTAAGTACTGTGAAGCTGAGAGCCAGCCTTGGCAACACTAAAGTAGAATTGGCAGTACTAAAGTACGTACTGGGAATCTGAGGGTCAGCCTTGGCAATACTAAAGTAGAATTGGCAATACTAAAGTAAGTACTGGGAATCTGAGGGTCAGCCTTGGCAATACTACAGTTGGCGTCCAACATTACCAAACGGTGCTAAACTAGGTCCTCCAGTAGACAGGCCACAATAAGGGTACCCCTTTTTCTGTAGTCTATTTTAGTAGGCAAACCCTCCCCCCCCCAAAGAAGGGCAAAAGGACACTACTGGGGGCCCGCCAAAACGTGCCATCAATGAAGCCAGATTCAAGCGGCCCTGCGCCGAACGAACCAAGCACACAAACACCCCCACCCCCACCCCCGAAACGCAGGCACGCAGGCACGCAGGCACGCAGGCACGCAGGCACGCAGGCACGCAGGCACGCAGGCACGCAGGCACGCAGGCACGCAGGCACGCAGGCACGCAGGCACGCATGCAAGGCACACACACACACACCACACACCCCACACACCCCACACACCCCACACACCCCACACACCCCACACACCCCACACACCCCACACACCCCACACACCCCACACACCCCACACACCCCACACACACACACACACACAAAAGCTTGTTGATCCAACATCTGTTTCACATATTGTGAATGGAGGATGGGTAATCGTCCGGCCATACCCAATCCAATTAATATCCAGGAGTAACTCGCCTTTCAGTCGCAGGAGCTTCCGCACTCGTCCATGGCTGGGGCTGGTGGGCATGGGTATGCTCGATCAAAAGGGTACCAAACAAAAGGCCTTCCTTTTGGTTTTCCTTTGAAGCAGCCCCAAAAGGGTACAGTACCCGCCAAAGCACGGACGCACGCACGCATGGTTGATCGCCCCGCCCTCACGCTTGTCTGCGGCCAAGGTGCTCTGGCTCAGCGCACTCCCGTACCGTGTGATCCTCCGGCACCTTGCGAGGACTCTTCTCCGTGAGGATCGTTGGCAGACCTGCAGCCAAGCACCCCACGCAAGAAGGAAAGGTTCGGCAGCAACCTCTTCAGAAATGGGTTCTAAGAACTGTTCTGGGGGTGGGTGGGAGGCGGTGTTGCAATTTTGCTCCTCCTGACTGGCAAGGCGAGTTCCCCAAGCGCAAGTACCCCAGAGCCTCAGGGTTGTACACTAATTCAGTAATTTGTGAAACGGTAGCTCTGAAAAATGTGCTTAGGTTTAGATCAAACACGGCAATCGCCAGCCTGTTCCAACCCCGCAACACATCCACACGCCGCCCTGTCCGTGCCCAAATCATATATTCAGAACAGTGAACAGAAAACAAGGACAACACATTGCAACCCTCGCTTTTGAAAGGCAGGTTTTGTTCACACACTAGAAAAAGAGCCCACCCAGGCAGTCCAATGGTTGTCGGCAGGACAAAAAAAATGCTGAAGCCACAAACCCTGGGCCTTTCCCCTCAAAGGAAAACGTTGAAGGAGACTCTTTTTCAACACGGGTTGGTTCATTCGAGGCTTCGGCCTAACCCCCGGGCCTCCCGAAGAAGTGGCCAAGGATCCCAAGCTCAGCTGGCGCCAGCTGCTGACCCCAGTGGTCATCGGCCGCACGGGCGAGTCATTGTCCTCCTCCAAGCCTGCTTTGGTGGAACTTGTGCTTAAGCCCCCTGGAAAGTTTTTTTTTTTTTTTTTTTTTGTCCAGTAGTGATCGATTCCTTTTAAAACCAACAGGGGAAAGCAACAAAACTATTCTGAAACAGCTTCCCTTCTGGCCTCATTATTTTACCATGGTCAAAGTCACCAAATTCAGTGGTTAAAGGGAAACACCCCCAATTCTGACTTTGATAGCCCCCAGACAACGTCAAAATAAGGACCCCTGAAGAGGGATGAGAACAAGGAAACGCCCGGATCATTCCCCTCATCTTCATCCGTAGGACACCGGCACAAGGGATGCCACCATCTGAGGCGAAAGAAGCCCCGCGTTATCGCTGTCCCAATTCGCTTTCATTGCCCTGCCATTGCCCCAAAAACAGTGTACTACATCAAGTCCCTCAGATGGCTATCGGCGCATACCCAGCTCTCGCGGCGGAACTAGCAACTCTTGGAAGCACCTTGGGAACATTTGGGTGCGCGGGACTTGTGCTGGAGTTGTGCGGCAACTTGCTTTTTGGCTGAACGCCGCGCTGCCTTTCTTCTGGTCGCACAAGCGGCTGACGATGGAGAAGCGGTTCTAAGTGTCGCGGCTTCAAGGGAAGTGGTCGCAACCGGCAAATGAACTGTCTTAACTGTCACTTCTTTGCCGCAACTGGAGTGGACTCGAGCCTTCCTTTTGCCCGCCCACGTTTGACTTGCGCGGTTGGTCTTGCACACTGCTGATCTTCAATGTCCACTCGGGTCAAGCGCTTTATATCATGTTGTTTCTTTTTTAACGACCCATCTGGCATAAGGACTAAGGAAAATTGGAACAGCACGGGCAACCAGAAACGAGCATGTTCGGAGCCTTTCGCGGCACCTGGTCATAAAGCTTCGGACAAACGGCAACACACCTGGGTCGTTCGATCAACAGGGACACCCGTATCTACATAGAGGGTACCATTGTTGGAATGCAAAAAGGGGATCTCTATGATATTCTCCAAGGGACTGGAAGACAAGACGGGCAAAAAGCAAGGCCAGCCTCACTCTCACAGGGCACACATGAGACAAAACAATCACAAAGGATTTCAACAAAATATGAAGAAACGCCCAAGCTGCTGCTAGAAATGCCATGTAACCTGGGCATTGCAAAAAATCAGGGACCCCCCATCCTCTCTACTCAAGCCTGACTCAGCCAGGAAGGTTACACTTGCAACAACATCCAGTTGAGTATGAATCTTCATTGGGGACACCTTGGTGAATTTCATTTACCAACCATTTGGGAGGCTATTCCCAATGAAAATCCACAGCCATGTGTTAACCACGGTGAGGAGAAAATCAACCCCCGAAAGGTGCTCTAGCGGCTCCATACAAAAGACAGCGACTTAGTCATTCTCCCTCCAGTTCCCAACGGTTGACATTGAAGCTGGTAAGCTTCCCAAAGATACCTTCGCTTGCCGCACAAGTTGCTATTTCGCCCTCTGATTGGTTTCGTTCATTTCGCGACGTTTTGGCAAGCTCTGGGGGAAGAAGGCACCGTGCGGACTTCGCGCCTGGCGAAGGACCTCAAGCGAAGCGCAACGCGGCGAGTTGCGAGCGGCTGAACTTTGAGGTATCCTGCAGGAATTTCTGCAGGAAATGAACACAAACAAAACGCAAGGACCACCTGTAGCTGGTTTCCAAAAAAACACACTCAAGCATGGCATTGCACCATACCATTTTCCACAAGGATGGTAGTTGTCAAACACATTCTGTGCATTTCCACGTTTGTGGGTGGGAGGGTAGCAAGCATAGCTGACCTCTCTTCAGCATTCAAACTTTTGCTCAAACCACCTGATGTATGCGGCCTGATATCATCCATGAGCGGCATTCATGGGTCCAGGTCTTTTGAACAGGCCGCGCGCTTCAACAAATCAAAGGCACCACTCTGTCGGGTGTCCCTCACAAACACAACAAACAAACACGCACTACGTGAAAGGGTCCGAAGTTGGGGTGGTCATGCATTCATGGGAGTGGAGTTGATCATGTGTGCGGAGTTAGCTCTGCGACGGGTCAGCAACAGAAACCAGTGTATACATCTGAACAAAACATCTCTGCTGACCCACTAAGCAGTGAGAACATAAGGGAAAGACCCTGCAGCACCAAGAAAAACATAGTTCTGGGCAAGCAGCTTTCTTGTTGAGGCGGCTTTGGCTGCGAGCAATCGGGCGTCATTGTCACACCTGCAAGATTCTGGCGTGCAGTTGGCTTTGCATTTTCTCGGGCCAACCCTTGGCCAGTCAACGGCCAACGGAACCAACCAAGCACCAAACGTTAAACCAACCACTGCAATGCTGGCTGTGGATGTAGCTCTGCTTGCTGGTACACACTTCCAAATATGTCTCTGAAAACGTGAAGCTGCCATGGGAGTCACAAGCGGTCATACAGTCATACACATCGAATCGTCTGCCTGACCGCATCTCCGGGGCTGCCGTCGGCTGCTCTGCTGGCGGTATCGCATGTAGCAGACCTGCCGCAGCCGATTTCAAGTTGGGCGTGTCAAAGCTGGCCGGTTTCCAAAGTGGACTTCCCCCTTCCAACGCCGTGCCAATTGCTCCTAGAGTCATGGGGGCTGGGAGGGGAGGGGGAGGGAGCCCAAATACAACCTAAATAAGGCCTTCTTAAGGGCTTAATAAGGGCTTAGTTGGGCTCCCTCCCCCCTTCCCTCCCTCCCCCCCAGCCCCCATGATAGAGATGCAACAGTTTGGACTCAACGATTCCTGACAAGCTTGATCATGCATGGACAGGAAGTTGGTGCTGCCAGTGTGTCAACAAACTGTGCCCGTGGTTGGTGGGCGTGGCTTGGCACGGATCTTTGAGTTTGTCGCCGTAGACATAGCAAATGAACGTCGTGATTGTTTTCAGTGAAATATGTCACGGTCGTCACCAGCAACAGCCTGCATACCAAGGGGTTTGTTCGTGGACAAAATAAAACACATCAGAACCAACAAACACTAATACCCTCTTTTCTGTAGTCTATTTTAGTAGGGGAGTAGGGGAACCCTCCCCCCAAAGCAGGGTAACAGGGCACTACTGGGGGACCTAGACTAATATATATACGCAACGTGGATCAGGCGTCCCCGTGCCCTTGACGACATGGAACTCGTGCCGTTGCGACCTGATGGTATCTCCGGCGGCGGTGGCTGCTCTTCTGGCAGCATCACACGTGGACCTGCGGCAAAGAAGTGCTCCATTCAGCGTGTCTGGTGCGAATCGGAGAATTTGGTGTGCCAAAGCTGACCGGGAGCGGAAGTGGACTGCCCTCAGAGCCTCCCCTTTGTACTTACCCCATCGGGAAAAATGAAACTGACTGATGGACGCAGCTTTCAGAATTTCACGCTCCAGAGTTGACTGGGAGTCCCCAAAGCTCCCAAGGGGAACGCCTGGTTGCTTGGCAATTGCAAACTCACTGAAACAGTTGAGGGGTCCGCATTTTTGGCAACTCCCAATCAAAGCACGAGCGG